TTCCGCCACGGTCTGGACTGGGTGACAACGCTGACACATTCAATAAGGCGTGTTGTGTTTTTCGACCCTCAACATCCAGGTCACGAAACCCAAGTGCTGAAGATCATGAATCCAGATGTCCCAGGCAGTATATCGGGGAAGACCTCCACATCCACTCGGAATTATCCGGTGACCCACGCAGTCACGCAAGAGCCCACGACGACGTGGAGTGACGAAAGCATCATTGTGACTCCCGGTACCCTAACTGAAGGCTTCGAGCCTGTAGCGGCATTTGTGAAGAATGACACTTTAATCATCGAGCCCGTGGGCTTTCCAGAAGAAGAGAATCGTGTGTACCCCGACGTTTACCCGGAAATTCCTGACCTGCCGACTGTGAAAAGAGAGAAACCACAAGAAAACAGGGGTGTATTTCACATAGCTGTCGGTGCTATAGGATTATCTACAATTGTGACTGGTGTCGTCCTCATGTCGAGTTTCAAGGAGCGCACGCACAGGCCTTCTATCTTGGTGTCGCGTGGCGTTCAGACAATATAAGCTTATAAGGAGGGAGGTTTTGTATGGCATGTATATACTTTTGTGTAGTGTTATGAGGAAACTTAATAAAACACTTTATCAAACTTGGCTTATATTCCTTCGCGTACGACATGGGAGAAGCTCCGCGATGGAGCAATCTTCAAACTACTAACTGGAGAGGCAAGTTTACTACTATGAACAAGGAAATGTGCTACATATTAAAGGTTAATATAGTATTGGAGAGACAAGAAATACTTAGTATACAATGCACAAAAAAATATTTTGTAACTTCATTTGGAAAGTACACGGACCAAATTATGAATCTTTAACTACAAAAGAACTGTAGGTCGTGTACTTCTGCCACAGTGAGAATGGGTGAGTTGTACAGAGCAAAATTTTGCATATTGATAATTGATGTATAATTTGTTTACGCTGTATCAATACTTCCATGCATGCAGAAAATTTTGACGATGATGTAATCATTATAAATATATCATATCAAACATATGAAGTCAAAGAAGTACTCATAACGGGAGTACAACAGTTAAGGAAGGTAAGGAATATTAGTAAAGTAAGGAATAAGATGTATGGGCTATTGCAAAGATGTTCGTAGGGTAAGGAAGCGATTAGCAAAGGAGGGGGTTTAAGGGCAATTAGGCCAGTTTCTGGGAGAATGTCATTAGGGAGAGAATCCAGGGAAGGAGGCTGCCGTGACAAAGGGTCACATCCAGGGAGGGATAATAGGGAAGGAGGTGGGGATGATACAGCTGAAGCAACGGGGGAGGGGTAGGATCTGTTGAGAGGGAGTGAGAGGAAGGGGTGCAGAACATGAGTAGGAGGATGGATATCGGCAGTTACTTTGAGTGTAGAAGGAATGGGATTAGAAAGACTGGAGTATGGATGAGACGTAGGCATGCTTATGGGTCATGCATGAATAGGCAGTTTTTAATGTTTTTGAGAGTTTCTGCAGTGGAGTCGGTTGGGAGGTCTGAGAAACAAAGGTTTCCTTATGGGGGGGGGGGGTGAAGGGTCGAGGGATTTTTAATGGTTAATGGTTAAAAGCAAGATAAATGTGCTAGACATCTAAGGTTATGTAGCACTATAGTTAATGTTAGTGAAGGGTGGTTGAGTTAGTGATTAGTTGTCAAAGCTGGGCAAAGGATTGGTGAGTGAAAGGGTTAATGTCGGGTGTGGTAATGTAAAGGAGTTGTAAAGGATTAGGTGAAGGATATGTATGCGTTTGAGGAAAGAGAACAGGTTGTTGAAGCAGAAAGTGTGGGATTCTGTAAGGATGTCTGGTAGGTTGGGAGGTCGGTGAAGGGAGGATAAGTGGGGGAAATCAGAGGTACGGGCTGTTTCAAAACGTGGGCACGATAATAGGATGTGTGGGATTGAAAGGGGAACATTACATAAGGAACATAAGGGTGGATCAGATTGTGACATCAGATAGGAGTGTGTTAGACGGGTATGGCCAATGCGTAAGCGGGCGAGAGCGGTCTCCCAACGTCTGTTCCGATGAAATGGAGCTGACCAGGAGGAGATTGATAGTTTTACAGAATGTAATTTATTAGTGCGGAGGCTTGATCAAAAAGATTGCCATCGATTATACAAGAAGGTCTTAAAGTGTGGGTAATAATCCGTGGCTGGGATACGTGAGAAGCGTGGTTGGTATGATGTGGACATAGCGGCGTGGCGTGCTAGTGTATCTGCCTGTTCATTGCCGGGGATTCCAACATGGCTGGGCACCCAGCAAAATTTGATTGTTTTATGGCGTGTGGACAGGTAGAACAACCAGTTCTGGATCTTACAAACAAGGGGGTTGGTGGTGTGTATTGACTTTATGAGAGTTAATGAGTTACGGGAGTCAGTAAAAATTGTAAAAGAGAAAGAGGAGAGTGAGTATATGTGTTTTAGAGCAAAAAAGAGTGAATACAGTTCTGTACTAAGGACACTGGATTCAGGAGGAAGGGAGTATTTGAAAGTACGAGTTGGGAAGATTAGTGGAAAACCAGCACCGGAGGTGGATTTGGAGCCATCAGTATATACATGAATATTAGAGGAATGAGTGGAGACATGGTCAAGGAAATGGGTGAGAAGGACAGTAGGAGGGATATTTAATTTTGGTGGGTCGGGGAAAACAGAAGAGCAAATATGGGGGTGAGGTATAAGCCATGGAGGGATGGAATGGACAGAGAACGGGAGAGGTTGGAGATAGGGGAAAGGGGAATGGGAGAGGAGGGTATCCATGCGAGTGGAGAAAGGAGTAGGTAAACGTGGAGATGAAGCTAGGGTAAGAAGTAGGGATTGTGGGATAGTTAGTTTAGTGAGGGAAAGTTGGTGGAATCGAACATAGCATCGGAGAGAGAGAAGGGCACGACGTCGAGATAGAGATGGTGTGCCTGATTCAGTGTACAGGCTCTCAGCTGGAGAGGAGCGAAAGACGCCTAGTGCTAAGCGAAGACCACAGTGATGGATTGTATCAAGATGGGCAAGGAGAGAAGTTGAGGCAGAGGAGTAGATATGGCATCCATAATCAAGAGTGGAGAGGATCAAAGTAACATGAAGATGAAGGAGAGTTTTGCGATCTGAGCCCCATGATATATGGGATAGAGTTTTTAAGATTCGAAGGCGGCGGAGAGCTTTTTCTTTAATATGTAGAATATGGTCTCGCCAGGACAGTTTGGAGTCAAAAATGACACCTAGGAATTTGCCAGAGGAGCGGCATTGGAGTGGAGTGCCATATAAGAAGAGTGGGGGTTGGGGACCTACACGTGAGCGAGAGAAAAGGATGGAGAAAGATTTAGAGGTAGAAAAGCGGAAGCCATGGTTTGTGGCCCAGGAAGATACTGATGAGATTGCAGATTGAAGAAATTGGTAGAGATTTGGTATGGATGTGCCAGAGGCATAGATGGTTAAATCATCAACATATAGTGATGATCGGGCTCCTGGTGGTAAAACTGAGACAATATCATTAACAGCAAGAAGGAATAAAGCGGTACTGAGCACACTGCCTTGTAGGACACCTTCGATTTGAGAAAAGAAAGATGATGTGGCAGAGGCAATTTTGACCTGGAAAGTGCGTTGGGAGAGGAAGGACTTTATGAAGACACCCATGTTTCCACGTATGCCTAGAGGGGACAATTGTTGGAGAATATGGTACCGCCATGTCGTATCATATGCTTTTTCTAGATAAAAAAATATAGCTAGTACGGATTCATGGCGTGCAAATGCGGATGTAATATAAGCAGCTAGTTAGTGCGATGGGGCGATAGTCTTGAGGGAGGGTACCCGATTTATTGGGTTTCAGGAAGGGAAGGATAAGAGCTTATCGCCAATTAGAAGGAAAATTTCCTGATGTCCATATGTGGTTGTAAATTTTTAATAGGAAGGATAAGGAGGAAGATGGGAGTTACCGGAGCATATGGTAGTGAATACCATCAGGGCCTTCATGAGTGTTGCGGCACGATTGTAGGGCAGCAATGAGTTCAGAGGAAGAAAATGGAGCATTATAGGACTCAGCGGAGGATGGGGTGAAGGTAATGGGGGTACGTTCTCTGGTGGTCTTAATAGAAGAGAAGTGTGGAGAAAGGTGAGAACCACTACTG